ACCTGGAAGTGACACCACGTCTGCGGGCTCGGCCCCGCCCCCACGGCTCCGGTGCGCCAGTCAAGGCCTGTGAGGTCAGAGCGCGGGCGCGGAGGGGGTGGGGTTTGTAACTGACTCCGCCCACCCCATTCCGAGGCCACGCCTCCATGCAACTCTCCAGGTTGTGCCTACATCTTTCCAAAACAAATTAGAATTTTTAGAGGCTCATCTCCACATTGTTAGCAGCACAATTTAATGGACCTAGACATTCACTTTCTAATGCCTGGACTCTGTTGAGGATAATACTGTTGAACTACGTGTAATAATAAATTGAGAGATTCTGCAACATCTGAGATCCATTATCTCCTGTTAGTCAAAACAGAGCTGCCGTTATTTTGGTCCCGATTAGGCTTCAAGCTTGTGATTCATTAAGAATTTTAATTTCTGAGGTCTTGCACTTAAAATTTGTGCCCAATATGTAAAGCAAATACTTCAGCATATGCAGTCTACATAATTCCAGCTTATCTTAGGTAACCTAATTATTGTGAATTAATGAATCTAATTGTAAAGTATACAGCAGTTTGCCATCTAACGTAACCAATTGGAACCTCTGAGCAGGTTTTGGTAAGAAATTTACACAATCTCTTCATTTTCAGTCACTTCCCTAATTGTACAAAATTTGTACTCCAGTGTTAAAAATCAGACTGCACTCTTCCTTCCTTGAATAGACAACACAGACCCCAGAAAAAAAAAAAAAACACAAAAAGGCCTGGTATTACTTGAAAGGCTTATTCGTATCCACTGTGAGAGTTTAACAAGCATTGACAGAAGGCAGAAAAAAGTGACAACACGAGGCACAAACTTTCCAATTCATTTATTTAAACTCACGAACGTTGCAAAAAATACGATGTGCAACAAATTAAAACACAAGTTACTGTATTCCTAACAGGTCCAAGGAAAAAGAAAATAATTACATCACCATAGGAAATCCTGACCGACCTTGGTCTTACAGAGACCACATGGACATGCTGCACACAGACACACATGGAAACTAGATTTCTCAGTGTGCAAGGATCTAACGAGGCTAGGCAACACCATCCTGCTAGTAATACAATGATCACAGTACTGTCTAAATGACAACTTGTGAACCTGTGGCAACAAACATATTTTTAAATATGTATGAAAGTGCATTAGTGTCTAACAAACTCTGTATTGTTTTCTACAGGAACAAGGGCTGTGCTAGTCCGTGGCTTTGAACATCACTAAAACGGACTCACTGGGTTTATGCAAATAAACAGTTACACAACTGTTCAAGGACACTGGGCTTCAGATGGTCTGTATACAAACAGTGCCCTGGAATTCTTCCTTTGCCAAGCGAAACGTGAACTGAAATCTAAGTCCGAAGCACTAGACTCCTGGTCTGCATCTATACTTCATCCATTAAGTGCTTTGTGTGAATTTTCATGGCATTTTAAAGTTTACTCTCCAAGCATCTGAAATTAAGTAGAAGACCTATTTATTACATTTTGTTGGGACAAAAGGTTCTATCCAGATTTTAGCATTCTTCTTTTAACATTCTAATTTATTTTTCTTTAATACTTACAACTTTAAAACAAAGTTATATTACTGAGCCCTACACTACTGATCCGGGCTCTTCAGAAATCTCAAGAATGGGAGACGAGGGTGCTGGGGTCCCTCAGACAGTTCTTACCAACTACATCAAGTAGACAGTAACTCACTTCCCTCCACAGCCGGCCTTCCATGCATGTGTAGGTTTATGCTCTAACACACTCCAACATCACAACTCCTATTCACCATAAAGGCAAACTCCTGGCCAGCAACAGCTTCCCAGTACATTAACTCCACTACTCACTCCATCCCTTTAAGATCTATTTCTGAAATATGTGGACAGGGTGGGGAGAAAAACAAAACAGTGTAGTGGACTGTTATTTTTTAGTCTCTCTCCTCATGTGATCTATGTTAGCTATTTTCTACATACAACATGGGAAAAGGATGGTATTACTATGAACACACACACACACACACACACACACACACACACACACACACACACACACACTGGCTTCATCATGGAACCTGACTGTTCTATCAGATATTTATCCTAATGCTAACTGACCAACTGCAGAAATCTAACAAGCTGTACCTGCATTACATCTAGCACTTCCAAACTCCCTGAGCTCTCACCTATCAGTCCTTTGAAAAAAGCCTCTATCCAAAAAGCAGACCCCTATCTTTTCAAATATTGTAAACACATTTGCAGAAACTTTAGCCATAAAACCATCAGCACAGTTCAGAATCCAGTGCAGTTACTGAAGAACAATGTCCTTTTTCAAAGACTAACGTTGACCAACTGTGACCTGTCTAAACCTTTAATCTGGCACTGATTGCTAACCCTCTCTGCTGAAACTTGCTTCTCTAGCAACAAAGAAAGCAAAGCAAATATGAACTCCTTTCATAGCTGTTACCACCTTTTCTCCTATTCACACTGTGTACAGCCAGCCACAAGCTTTCCGGCTGGGTAAAAGAAACGGAACTACCAACTGACCCTAAAGAGGACACATTCATTCAGTGGGGGCCTTAGATAACAGCTAAGTCTTTCTTTATCCCTTTATAAAGGGCTCCTTTCTCCTGCTTGATCTTTCCCAGATATGCAGCCAGACTGTACTTAGAATCACATGTGTCCATGCTCCCCACTAAGTTAAAAATTCCTAAGCTTAAATCGTGGAGTCCATAACAACTTTCCCCGGTGCACAGAACACAAAAACCAAAGTATTTCATGCTCCACAGGACAAGCTTCCAACTTAAAAGGGGCACCAGAACTAAAGCTAACAAAAATGTGGACAGAAACATCATAGGTCATGTAAGTTAGCCTCATAACCCCCAAAAAGATAAAATACAATGATATCTACTTCCACCTCAATCAGTCATGGAAAATTAAAATTTAATAAAATGTCACATGATTGCCAATTATAAGTAAGCTTAATCAATGTTTTTCCTTTAAACTACCAGTTATCATCTTAATTTCATAGTTATGAAACATTTGTTGCCACATCCCTAGACCAGAATGTACTAAGGTGTGAGTTATAGCAGGTATTCTAATCTGGTTCTTCACAGAATACATCTTCTGTTATAAAAACGAGTGTTAGAAACCATGATTTCAGAAGTAAAAATACAGAGTTAAGTTAAGCTTTTTGTCTCTCCAACTGACCCAGGTACTGCTGTGGGAAAAGCACCTATTAAAAAGGCCAACCCATATCAAGAAAACACATGGATAAAAGTTGCTTACAATGCTCTACAAATATGGACTATCATCACAATTGATTCAACCATGACCTTTTATTCATGATCTCCATATGGTGAATTCAGAAGGAATGCCTAAGTTGTTTCCATTAGTTTACTTCAACACAGTGTTTCTAAATTTTCAGCAAGTAATGGTCTTGGCTTCATTCACCATAGCTCACATTATTGCCTCAGGATGTGCCAAGAGCCACTGGATCCCAAGCTGAGACAGGGAGCTGCTAAAGATGGTCTCAGCTGGAGAATCCTCCAGCAGCTCACGGTTGTAGCTAAGTTACCATTACAAGTCTGTGATGAAAGAGTACAAAAAGTAGAATTCCCTTTTGCATTAAAAACTTTGTCCTTAAAAATAACAATGTTTTGCACAGACTATGTGTTTAACAGAAGACAGAATAAGCCTTTAAGGCTTACTTCTATTTTCTTCAATTTTGCTGCACCATGCCTAAATCTTGAAAAACACACAAAGGGCTGAAGAGTGGCAGGAAGAGGTTTGGAAGATGGTACATTTACCAAATACATGAGTCATTCAAATGTCCAATACAGCATTAGACCAATGTGTTGATTCTGAATGGTTCAGTAGGTGACTGAACAAAACAAAGAGTTTACATGTGTTTATTGTGTCATGAAGATGATGCTTTACCCTAATTTACAGTACTGTTAACAATGGTTCAACAGCAACCTGGAGACAGATCATCTGGGACAAGCTCAAATAACTGAGATGCAAGGATTTGGTAAAGTGCTCACAGTGAGAGCAGTTTAAAAAGCAGCTTGTTTTCTACAGAAAAAGTCATGACAGTGAATAACTCATCATTCTTTGCAAAACTCCACAGCATTCACACACAGAGAAGAGAGCAATACCCTGGACACACAGCTCATTTCACATTAGTGAACAAACCCAAGATTTTATAAACTTCTGACTCTGGGCCAGAAGATAAAATGTCCCATTATATACATATGTACAAACACAGCTTCTCAGCCCCTTAAATCCTGTTATTTCTAAAAATGGCTTTTTGATTTTTCTTTCGGTTTAAAAAGGAAAAAAACTGTGCATCGCACTTGCAGTTGCTCTTCTGTATTAAGGAACAATACATGTTAAGTTAGACAACAGCCTGGCATGCCACCAAATCTGATGAGATTATACACGTGATCTTTGGATGTTTAAGAGAATCAGTCTGACTGTCCCTCATCTTATGAGCAACTTAATTTTCTAAGTTACCCAGGAAATGTATTTAACCATTTACAAAATAAAGACAAATTCTAAAGTGTACTTTACAAAAACTATGGTCTTGGTTACCTGCATATGTTTCCATAAGACAGGTATACATTAAAAAATATTGCTCAAGAAACATAAAAATATATATTATTTCTTTAACATTTATGCATATAAATATTTTACTGAAGAAGATGCATCATTCAATAAACAAATGCAAAACTTTCATATAAAGTGTAGTTCTCTGCTATTTAGTACTATAAAATATAAGATGATTACAATAAAGTTAGCTATTAAAGGAGCTAAATTCAAGAAATTTGCAAACCAATACAGCAGTGAACAGTCCCTTGTACAAAAGTCCATTAAGAAAAAGTCAAGTCAATTTTGTAACAGATTACATAAAATATGGGCCAATAAATGCATTATAAATGCAAAACAGGATTGCTTCATCAACATGTTCTTCAGTCTTGTTTGGACTAGATGCCAAACTTACTGCTCGCTTTTTGGTTCATCTTGTTTTCCATTAAGTTCTTGATCAACTCTGTGTAACAAAAAAATTATAGATAATAAAACACTAGCAACGGGACATTTTCTAAGAGTGACTACTTCCAGCATAGAATATTATTCTGTTAAAAACAAAGCTTTGCGAAGAAGCAGACATAGTAAAAGATTACCAAACATTTCCCCAACAACAAAAGACAAGAATATTTTTATAGACAGGAAGACACTGATAAGAAACGTGCGACTATCGTTTCTTAAAGATCATAAACTACAAACAATGTATATGAACTTTCTTAAAAGTTCATGACTTGTAGCTTTGCTGCAGTGCAAGAATCCAAACAGTAGAAGACCAGTAGGAAAAACAACTCCTCAAAAACGGTTTTGTTATCTGAAATATGAAAGTGCTATCAATCCACTGACTGATATTATTTTTACAATAAGGGATAAAAATGCACAGTAATGTAAGCCATAGTTATACTCCAAGCTGTCTTAGTATGCTTTGTGTGACTCCTTTCCACTTATTTTGACACTGAGAAGCCACAGAAATTTAATATCAAAAATATCTAAAAGTAAATTAAAACCTTCTAGATGAACTACAGATTAGACAGAATTTATATCAAACTTGTGATACTAGCATCACATCTGAGTTCCTGGCTTATCCATTTCCAATCCAATTTCCTCAGTGTGCCTGGAAAAGTGAAAGATGGCTCAAGTACTTGGAATACTGCTACCCATGCATTAGACTCAGATGGAGATGGAGGCTGCTTCGGCTTGGACCAGCCCTGGCCACTGCAGCTATTTCTAGAGTGAACAGTAGATAGGAGACATTCTAATTCTGCTATTCAAATAAATAAAACAAATCTTTGAATAGAAAATTATTCCCACAACAAGTCAAAGATAACATTACATAATGTATAACTACTCTACTTGTCGTTATTTGAATTACTACTGTGGAAACATGTAGTAACAACTTGGTATGACACAGGAAGATAATTTTCACACTTATGCCCATACTAAGTCAGACCCACAAATCTTGGTCCATTGTGAAGCCAGATTACCAACTTTAGAATATTTTTATACTGGTATCAAATATTTCAAAGATACATATATAATGCATGTCCAAATCTTCAATATTCCAATTAATTAAGTATTAAACTATTACTTAAACACTGTTTAAAAGTTTAATTATCTACCATACTTGCACTAGGTGTTTGAAAGAAACATCTGTAAAATTTAAAAATACTGTATTTCAATAGCAATGGTTTTAGATCCTACTTAGCATCAGTACCTAGCATGGAGATGGCACCTCAAATAAGCTCATGTGCACCTGTCCTTTTAACTTTTAGTTTTAAAAATAGTACACCAGTCCTAGTGGCTAAAGTGCTCTCTTTGCAGGTGTGAAGATCCCATATGGGTGCCAGTTCATGTCCCACCTGTTCCACTTCCCATCCAGCTCCCTGCCTATAGCCTGGAAAAGCAGTGGAAGATGGCCCAAAGCCTTGGAACCCTGCATCCATGTGGGAGACCTGAAGAAAACTGATCCTAATTGCAACGTGGTACAGAGTCTAAAAAGTAGGTAATGTTTCTACTTAAGACTAGTAACACAAAAGTAAAACAAAACAAAAAAGGATGAGATCCAGTTTTCTCAATGCTTAAATTAGCATAACAGCACATTGTATTCACAAAGACAATTCATTTTGAAAGCCACAAAGCCACTTGCTTCAAAATGCGATTACAGATAGAGTCATTTGTCTGCCAAGTATACAATGATACCTGGAAAAGGAATGAGAAATCAGCATGATCTCAAATCACTGCCCACATCAAAATGGCAAAGTACAATTAAACTGTGAAATGTAAAGCCATGAGTCCATTCCATGATTGATTAACTCAGTTCTCAGCAGCGAAACTAAAATGTGTTAAAAAAAATTGTCCAGTTCTACTCAATTACAGTTAGTGTCTTAGAATAGTCAAGTGAAAACCACATATAAATCTCTGACCTTAACTCTTAAGAAAAAGAAGGACTGCACAAAACTACGGTTGGCCAACTTAACTAACAAAACTTTAAGAAATTTGACAACAAATTAGATCTTTACCTATTCTTTTCTATAACATCACATAAAATGCTGTTTTAATAACTTTGTACTTCATCTTCTATGCCAAGATATTAATAGATAATAGCTATGCTCAAAGCAAAGTGTTCAAAATTAAATTTAAAATGGAAAGCAGAGCAATCAACTGTTAAATGGTCCATTGCACTTTTAGGTATTTTATCACATGTAGAATTTGACTGGTTAGCAGGCCATTTAATTTAAGCGTACAAGGAAATTGATGTTGGTTAGCCAAAGAATATATGCATTGCAAATATAATCATCAACCCCAGGGAAATATACAATTCTGTAAAGATATCTGCACAAATACTGCAGAGGCACAGGCTAGGGACTGCAAGTAAACGGTGAACAGATGGTCTTAAAAGCAGCTGGTATTTCAAATGGACTCAAAGTAATTCCTTTAGTTTTACCATCAGTGTTTACAGCCACGGGTAGGATGTGTTGTGGTCCTAATGCGCACCATATGTGGTATCAAAACAGGGTGAATGCAGTTCACGTTCACCATTAGGGGAACTCTGGATTCACCCTGTATTTGGATGTGGGGGTTTACTTATATTTACAAATGCTATTATCTTTGTCTACAAGCTAACCAACCAGTAAGAAAGGGTTAGTCTGTGCAATGCAAATGAACTAGTCTAGATGCAACCCAGTCAAGGTGTGCATATACCTTTTTTGTTTCTTTTTAAACTTTTCTTCTTCATACCTTGGTAGGGAAGAGTTATTTCAGTAAGTACACATATTATGAAGTGAACAAAAACTTGAAAAAAGATACCAAAAATAAGCTTAAAATTGCAGATAAAACAAAAAATGTGCAATGTACAAAGTACAAACTGACTTAATGTCATCATTGATGTTATACAACCTAAAATCACAGATCACGAAAACAAATTAATGTTTCTACATAAAAGCATTATGGTGTTCAGGTATTTATCTCAACAGCCTTAAACAATGTCCTTCCAGAGTTAGACTGGCAAAAGTGAATTTCTTAACTTCTAGTCACTGAAAATTACTGCCATTTGACTGACTTCATGAATGCTCCCTATTTCCAGCAGTATGATCATTCAGTGCCACAACGAACCCCCTTCTGGAGACCAACACGCTCAGGCTTGGAGAGGGTCCTTCAGTACTAAATAAACAGGAACTCACCTCTCAGCTTGTCACCAGTCTTTAAAAGCATAAAATGAATAACTATTAGAAATCAATTTCTTATAATCCTTCAACTGATAGTTTGAAGAACTTGGTGACTAATGGATAATGTGAGGGAAAATGGCTTTTATGTCTTTGTTACACACATTAGCATGCAATTTCAAAATAAACTCAGAAAGAATGCACATTAAAAATTATTACCCACTTAAATGAAAGTACAAAGAACCAATAGAATGAGAAAAATAAAAGTAACACATACTGTTTTATGCACTCTGGTATGCCAACATATTCCATGGGGACAAGTTCTGCTAATTCTGCCAAATTAAAGACGTATCTAATTTTTTGGCTGAATTTTGAGCTATGGAAGAAAAAAGTAACAATTACCTCAGCATTTCCAACGAATATAGTTGCAAAGAAATTTGCACAAGAACTTTTCTTTATAAGGTCAAGAGCTAAAATTACCTAATAAATGGTCTTGTGACAGCCAAAAGTGTTCTAATAAACCAAGATGGATGTACAATGATTAGAGATTTTAAGTTTTTTCGCAACCTGCGGTTTTAAAAAAAGGGGAAAATTTAAAAATATTTACAAATTTTAATGTTAGAGGTTAAGACATCATAAGTACATGCAAGTTTATGGAAAGTAAATAAAAGCTCTTACTGAAGCTAAGAAAATACATTCTTTAATCATGACCACCTCTCTTAAATGAATTTTAGTTATTTAGCTAAATTCATATCCACTGAATGGACTGCCTCTTAGCATGTATTCACTCGTCTTCAGGACTCTGTCAAATGGGGAAAGCAGCTAATACTGACTTTGAAAGCAAATGATTCTCATTTTCCAACCTGGAGAGAAACGAACACCAATTTCTCAAACGCCATGCAAGTCTCTCGGTAGGTAGGGCACTGCGAGCAGAGAGATCCCACAGCCACTAACAACATGCATCAGGCCTAAGTCATAAGCCCTATTCTTATACTTTACTTTAAAATTAAATGCAATAACCCCAAAATGGCTTCTTTTTTAAGTGAGTAAATAAACTACTGCTTAATCATGCATATTTCATATAAACAAAGTGATTCCTTTTTCATCACAAGAGCTAGCCAATGCAGGTACAAAGAGAAACTTAGTAATGAATCTTAACTGATGAAACTATTTCAAATAAGCTATGACAAACCAAACCCACTAGAGAATCAAAGTTCCTTCCATTAGCACGAATATGAATCAAAAGAATACTTTTAGAGTTGTTTACAAAGACTGTAATTAACACTACGACACTTGAAAAATCTATGGAAAAGAGAATTAAAAAGATTAGGTGCTGGCACGATAGCTCAACTGGCTAATCCTCTACCAGGAAATGCAAAATCCCACATGGCACTGGTTGGAGTCCTGGCTACCCCATTTCCCATCCAGCTCCCTGCCTGTGGCCTGGGAAAGCAGTGCAGGATGGCCCAAAGCCTTGGGACCCTGCACCCACGTGGGAGACCCAGAGGAAGCTCTTGGCTCCTGCCTTCGCATCAGCTCAGCTCTAGCTCATGTGAATAAACCAGATGGGTTAAAGATATCTCTCTCCACCTTTCAAGAATAAACATAAATAAATATTTCTCCATCTTTTTTTTCCTTTTTTTAAGAAATGATAAGTTTGGGGTCAGCATTTTGGCAGAGTAGGTAAAGCTGCAACCTGAGATGCTGGCATCTCTGGTTCATGCACCTGATATTCCACTTATAATCCAGCTCACTGATAATGGTTTAGGGAAAGTAGTGGAAAAAATCATCCGAGTACTTAGCCCCCTGCCCTTCATGTGGGAGAGCTGGATCAGGTTGCTAGATACCGGTTTTGGCTTGGCCCCACCTGGGACTTTGCAGTCATATGAGGAGTGAATCTGCAGCTGAAGATCTCTTTTTACATTACAAAAATTTGGGTCACCCAAACAAACATCTTTGGTTTTTCACAAACTTTTTGAAGCTCTCTTGTGTCTTCAAGAGGCCCAGAATATGCGAAGCATTATCAATCTGGCAAACTTGGAATATGACAAAGTACAGAAATGTTCTACTTTCCATCCCTTCCCAAGATAGAAACTGTTGCAAAGTGTTCAATTTGGCATAAATAAGAGAGTGTTTGCTTAAGACCTAAATAGATGTCCCTTGTGACATTCTAAAATACCCTTCAGAAAAAAACCAAAATTTATTATGAAATGAACAAATGCAATTTAAGAGCAGACATGGTGTCTTTACAAGGCAAAAAACAAGGCAAAAAAACACAAATCCACTAAGGTCATCATAAAAACCATTCAGCCCGCTTTCAGCTGTATTTATATTACCTTCTGTCAATCTGCTGGTAGCATTTCCTGAGCCATCCCAGACTTGGCATTTTCCTACGTGTTGTTGCACCATTTAAATAAACGATCATGTAGTTTTCTGCTACTAACAGCTCCAAAGTGCCAATAACATACCTGTAAAAACAAACTGAGCCCTAAATATCACAGGCGGATTTGAACTAAGTCTTCTAAATTATACAATTCCCTTTCTACCCAACAATGACAGGAAACACAATTAAAAATTATAAACTGTATTAACTGGCATTATGAATATTTTAAGCTATTTTCTAGAGATACATATTAAAATGTTTACAGATGCAATAACAATGTGTGGGGATCTGATTCAAAATTATACAGTGAAGAGAGAATAAGGGATGACATACAATTTGATAATTACAGAAGATGCTTATCTGCCACAGTTCCAGAAACCTACATCAACCTGAGCAACATGGTGAATGTGGATTAGTCAGAGTCAGCTCCTGACAGTGGGCTTCAGGGGCTCACGTAATTCAGCCATATGGTTTTGAGAAAGACACTTCTTTAAGATTCATAAATCCACAAATATAAATAAAGTGTTAGTATAATCTGAAGTTATATCTTCTAAATTCAAAATGACACCTTGTTTTTACTGAGTTGTAAAACCACAACTGCATAAAGCCAAAGGATAGACAAAGAACCAAAATTGGGAAATGCACACTTTTTACACAGGTTAAGTTCCAGCAAGTATCTTTAAGATATACTTACTTAAAGAGATTGTCCATCAGGTATCTGTAGTTAGGTTGACCACTTTCGGGCATAAAGCAGACAGCAAACACGACAATAGCATTCAACCCATCCCCATAATATCCTGAATAAGAAACCAAAGATTACATCACTTGCATGATTTTACTCCGATCTTTTTAGATGACATCTGACAAACACACTTAAACTAGTATAATTTTATTAAAAGCTTGCTTTAGGTGATAAAAATCTCAGCAACTAAAACATATCAGAAATAACATATTTTGAAGTATTCAAACGTCCTTCTTTTTCACAGATGCATTTACATTCAATGATGCCTAAAATTTTGCAGATCTTAAGATGTTAAAATCTAATAATATAATTGACACAACTTTCAGCAAAGAAAAGATGACTAAAATACCTTCACTTCAACTATAATCCTTAGACATTAAGCTGTACCCAGTTAAAGTATTCTTTGCCAGATGTTTAACTGTTCTTAAAAAGGTGAAGACATGAACATTTCAGGAACACTAGAATCCAATCTGTGTTTCTTAATCATCTCAAATAACTAAACAATGGGTATTAGTTAATGAGTATTAATCCAACAGGCTAAGGTATCTTAATTTTATTTTCCCCCACGAGAAGTGAAATGCTATTTCTAAGAGACCCTTGGTTTAAACTGGAAGGAAGGTCTCAAGGTTTGATTCTTCTGTACCAGAAATGAATGGGTATCTGGGCTTCTGATCCTGATGATCCATTTATCTTCATCTAAATAAGGTTAGATTAGGCAGAAGAATGTAACTGCAAATATTCAAGTAATGTGTTATCAAATGAATGAGGACAATAGAGAAAAGCAATAGGATGGCAAATTTTAAGTGGAAATGACGCTAAGTGATAAGAATCCGTCTGCTGATCCATACGGTGGCTGTCCTCAGTTAAGAGGATATACGGCAATATGACATGCTCTACACAAAAAGCTGTGTCCCAACTAGCAGGGTAGATTTTAGTTACCGAAAAAGGGATATTTATTGGGAGGATAAATTTAAAAATTAGTTTAAGGCAATAAAAATGTTCTATATGCTAGGAGGTGGAAGCCACATTACATTGCCATAAACCATTATATACACATTTGTTTTTTTTTAAAGATTTATTTTTATTATTATTTTTTTTATTGGAAAGGCGGATATACAGAGAAGAGAGACAGAGAGGAAGATCTTCCATCCGATGATTCACTCCCCAAGTGAGCGCAACGGGCCGATACTATGCCGATCCGAAGCCAGGAGCCTCTTCCGGGTCTCCCACGCGGGTGCAGGGTCCCAAGGCTTTGGGCCGTCCTCGACTGCTTTCCCAGGCCACAGGCAGGGAGCTGGAAGGGAAGCGGGGCTGCCGGGATTAGAACCGGCGCCCATATGGGATCCCGGGCGTGCAAGGTGAGGACCTTTAACCACTTGCGCCACGGCGCCGGGCCCATATATACACATTTGTTAAAACTCATTAAACTTGCTGTTAGTCTTAAGTGATTACAAAAGAGAGAAGTAAAGTTCCAGTTTCGGGTGGCCTGGATGGAAGGAAGACAGCTTCTAGTGCATATTCTTTCTTTTTGGAAGACTCAGTAGTCATTTACTTGAAAGCCAGAGTTACAGACAGGGAGATGGAGAGAGCTTCCATCTTCTGGTTAACTGCTTCGTTGGCTGCAACGGCAGGGCTGGGCCAGGACAAACCTAGGCAGGAGCCTGGAGCTTCATCCAGGTCTCCCACATGGATGGAGGGGCCCAAGCACTTGGACCACATTTTGCCACTTCCACAGTGCATTAGCAGGGAGCTGGACCAGAAGGAGAGCAGTGAGGATGGGACCGAGTGCCTACTTGGGATGCCAGCCTGACCTACATCACAACACCTGCCCTACTCTCTTCGTACTTTTTAAACTGACTGCAGATGTGTATTAATGACTTTTTAAGTGGTAATTTTATCCTTTTATTTCAAAACTGTTACATTCATAAAATGACAGAAGCGCAGTATCTCTCAAATCTCTAGAGATATTTTTAGAAGCATTTAGAATTTGATACTGCATTTGTAAGTCTAAATAACAATCTTCAGTACCTCTTACCTCCATGGCTGATAACTTTCTTATAGGGCTCAATTGCCTTCATGTCCACCCTGTGGTCCTGCTCTCCAATCCTGAACATACGCCAGCGCCGTCCATCTTCCTTCTCCTCCGCAGCGGTGTACTCAGTAATTGAGCCTTTCCTAAGCACTTCAGTAGTTTTGGGTTTTGGAAGATCATCTGTCAAAAGACAAGGCTTTTAAATCACAGACTGCTACACAATAAAAATCAAATTAATGCTAACCACTTTACTATCCAGATTGTTTGGAGAATTTTCATTATACTACCTGTGGACTTTCAAAATCTCTTCCATTACTGAAAAAAAGGTTACTTTTAGCATGCAGCCATCTTAAGTCTTCAGAAATCACAGTTCTTTACTTTTTTTTTAACTGCTCCAGTCAGCAAAGCACCTGATCAGTGTTATGTGTATCCACAAGCTCATCAGAAAAGCTAATTTACAGAGAGCGATCAAAGCTTTAGTACATGGGACCTATAAGGATTTTCAGACTGTACTTTTCACTGCTTCTATAGGTTACTGAAAGTCAGTCAGTTGTTTTTTTCTGTTGAGCACATAAATTCTCAAACATTGTAATGCCAGATAGAAAGTGGTTAACTACAATGATCACTTCTCATTTCATCATCAGTTTTAGAAGCAGAAATGTATTTATAATATTCTGAAGTGGACATGCAAAAGCAATTAAAATTAGCTGAAGTATAAGCACCAATGATTAGGTGAAATTTATGTTTTAAGGTTTGCAGTTTAGCTGATTTTTATTGAAGTAATGATTTTCAAAATTTTAGTATCAGAGTCCTTACCAAAAGATGGGGGCATGGGAAACCTACTGCATGTTAGTTGTTTGTTTCCAAGACAAAGCTGTTAATGGAAAATATCCTTCCGGAAATGACTACAGCGGCATTAAAGAAAGAGACAAAACACACAGGCAAAAAACTATTTCAGTATCTTCATAAGATATTGCTTATTATTGGACTGCTTACTGAACCAGTAAGTCAGGGAATATAAGAACAGAAGATACAAAATATAATTTTTTACTGCAAAATATCTAATGCCAGACACTAACTTGAAGTAGAAATAATGTCAAGGACTTAGTTATACAAACTATTGATTAGCTACTATAAAGTGAGATAGCAATTATTTAATTAAGGAAAGCACACAAAGCAAAAACATGTCAATCTCTTTAAACCGATATAGGCACTGATAAACACAAGGTTTGGTGGCCAAGAGCATACATTAATCCAAATTGATGGATTCAAAAAGTGCAAAAGGATGAGACAAACCTACTTAAAAAATAACTCCTAAGAACTGGCTTCAGCATGCCCTTCATGCAAATCCTTACTATTTTTAGCACATTCCCCAAATTATGTCTTTTCCCCCCTCTCCTTCCTAGATCAACTGAAAAGAGCACGCTTTAATTACCAAGCAATGTTTTTGAAGCATCTACTGAAAAACTAAGTTTACAGCTCTGGACAATTAAGAAGAAAAATAAAGCCACCAAGGTAATTTACTGTAAATGGTAAGACCATGAGAACATTGAGATGTTAGCAAAATTTTATACCTAACAAATGTGATAATCCTAGAAAAAGTAACATGTTTCAGACAAAATTCTTGAATGTATCCAATCCAGTTAGTTCACGATCAACTTGTGAGATTATGCAATTACCTGAATTTTCCATTTCTAAGACAACAGCACTATAAGAATATGTGTGCACACAAAGACAAACATTAATCATCAAACACCAGGCTAAAAACAGGGCTGCACTCACCTTCCCACTCAAACTCATTACTGTTTTCTGAGGGCGTGTCCAAGCCATCCAAGTCAATCTCCCCGCTCTCCTCCAAGTCGTCAGACAACACAGAGCCATCACTAGGATCCAGGGTCAGGCTAATGTCTGGAGCCATTAATTTCTTTCTTACTTTTGTATTTCCATTAACTTCTAGGGAGCCTGGTATGAAAACAAAGAGATACTCGCAGGAATGCTTAGATACTTGGTGGGCAGTAACAGCATCTTAATCACTTCATTCGTGAGAAGAATATTCAACAAAATTCCAAAACACTAACTTACAAAATTTGGGTTTTGATCACTATTATGCTACATCATTGGGAAGAGACACAGACCTTACAATCACTTCTCTATGAAGAAATTATCTCCTCTCATCCCTTTGAAAATTTCTGAAGACCTAGGGTATGCTTTCGGAGTGAAATGAAAGGTCAAACCAGTGCAGGTAAAGCAGCTGCCCCTGCTTATGTCCCGGACAGCTGCCAGGCGTTCGGGGCTCCACCGCCCGTGCGGGAGAGCTACAGGAGAGCTCCTAGCTGCTCTCGGCCTGTACCTGGCTGTTGCTGCCATCTGGGATTGAATCCATGGGTGGACAATTTCTTCCTCTCTCTCTGACTTTCAAATAAACAAACACATCTTACAAATAAATAAAACAAAACAACAACAAAAAAGATCTAAAAATTCAGTGTATATTTCTGACAAAGAAATGGATTCAAAACCAACACGAAGCCCATCATGTCACTTAAGTGTCAGTTCTTACCAGGCTGGCTCTCCGGTCCAGTTACTTCTAGTATGTCTGCTTCAATACTATCATCTTCTGGCAAAGGTCTAAGAGACATAAACACATTTTTAAAAGTAGAATAAAAACTTATTTGGGAGGTTGAAGATCTATTAAAATATAGCTTAAGGGAACAAATGTGCAGAAAATAGTGCATTTTATCTTTAGTAAATTATAAACGACTTTTAAAGAAACATTCCCAATCTGTGAGAATTGACTGACCTATATATTTAACACATAGAAGTAGATACAAATTCCTTATGCAACAGTTTAAATACCATAAAAAACACAAACCACCAAATGCACAGATATAATGCAATGCATAATAAAGCTGCTTTTTAAAAAAAGATTTACTTATTTATGTATTTTTATTGGAAAGGCAGATCTACAGAGAGAAGGAGAGACAAAGATCTTCCATCCCCTGGTTCACTCTCCAAATGGCTACAAAGGCTAGAGCTCAGCCAATCTGTAGCCAGGAGCCGGGAGCTTCTTTGGCGTCTCTCACATGGGTACAGGGTCTCAATATGGAACCCTGGTATGTGCAAGGTGAGGTCTTTAGCCATTAAGCTACCACGCCAGGCCTTCAAATCTGACTTTAATTCACAATGAGAATATAGTAATGACAGCTACACATCTGAATTCTGCATTCCTCTATTACTAGCATGATTATGTGCTACAATGACCCAGTTTTCCCACCATCTGTCCACATGCCAATTGCTAAGAAACCTCACTCACAGCAGGATATCTTCTGACCACGATGGCATAGAAACATCATTTAAACAGAAGGCCTGCTTCCGCAAGTGTGCCCACAGGGTTAGCCGGATATAGAACATTCTTGTTATTTATTGAATACAGCTCCTTCCCCTGAGCCCTGGAAAAACTCACAACACTTAAATGGTCTTATTCACAACCAAAGTTGCCCTTCTCCCAGGAACCCCTCAGTCCCCAGTTTAAAAACTACAGCTTTCAAGAAGTGCTTAGGACAGAAATTGTTAAATTTCAACAGTCAAAACAAATATTGAAGATTGTAGAACCTGTACATTTGATTGGAAAGTTAAGACTGAAGAGAAATATTCAAACTGTTGGAAATGAACTTTATTTCCTACTACCAAAGAACCACTTTTTAATATTGAATTTCTTTGTGAAGTCCAGTATTAATTATGCAATACCCTAATAAAAAACTTTGATGTTTTAAGTCTATTTTCACTCCAAGGTATTACTCACATTGGGAAATCTTCATCTTGCCATTCTTCCTTAAGTTCCACACCTTCCATCCTTAGCCTGGACTCGATGTCAGCTACCAGTCCTGGATAATCTGGAGGGCCAATGTCCTGTGAAGACAGAAAAATGGCTAACCTAAATTCCTCTTGTATCTGCTGACAAGCTGTAGTCAACTGAATCTCAGTTCAGAACTCTACTCCACCAACCACAGTGGGAAGGTATGCTGGAGAAATCAATTTATCAGGTTACAATTTTCCCTCAGAAGATTCAGAATAGAAAAATATTCACAGGAGTTGGCTTTGGGACACAGTGGCTTAAGCCACTGCTTGGGGCACCTGCATCCCACACCAGAGTGATGGAGTTGGGTCCCACTTCTACCTCTGCTTCCTATCCAGCTTCCGCTAACGTGTCTGGGAAGCAGAAGATAACGGCTTAAGTATCTGAGACCCCACCACCCAAGTGGGAGATCTGGAGAGAGCTCTTGGCTCAGGCCTGGCTCGGCCCTAGCTGTTGAAGGGTTTTGGGAAATAAACCAGTGGACAGAAAAATCACTCTTTATCTTTGGCTTTCAAATAAATACATGTTAATACAAAAATTCAAAGAACATATATTCTTATAAAGTGATGATTGTCTGTCCTAAGGATATTGTTTAGTTTTTTCCCCCAGTTGTTCATAGGCATACTGTGTCTTAGGTGTGATTAAAAATGTATTTCACATATGGATTATGTATATAAAAATCTGAAGTTGGGACAAGCAATAAAAGTAACATTTTCCACTAAATATCCCTAAGATTGTCTATCCTTTGGATATAACTTGATTCCAAAAAATGAACAATAACAAACTAACATTAGGATGATTCAGCAGAGCCAAAATAATGTTACTATTTATTATCTTCTTCCTCGCGGTTCTGACACCACTATTCTACAGTCACTTAATGAAGACTACTACTGAATAGCCCAATAAATGAATTATGTTGATTTAGTTCACATTTATACCATCAACACTTTTCTCATAATTCAGCTCGTTTTAGGACCCTCAGTTTGGGGATGTCATTGTGTATGCAACTACATATTTTAACTTAGGCTATGAATTTCCTAATGGCTATAGCCAGGTGAGGCTATGCCAGGCTAAAGCGGGGAGCCAGGAGCCAGGAGCTTCTTTCAGGTCTCCTACATGGATGAGAGGGGCCCATGTACTTGCGCCATCTGCTGCTGCTTTCCCAGGTGCATTAGCAGGGAGCTGGATTGGAAGTGGGACAGCCAGGATTCGAACCAGAGCTCACAGGGGATGTGGTATTGCAAGTAGTTTAACTCACTGTGCAACAATGCCAAATGCCTCCAACAGATTAACTGGTATGATACTGATTTCATAGCAAGTTCTTAACTGTCACCCACACTTGATTTTTAAACTACATATGCATCACTTAAAAATATATATCAAACAAATGCTGCCAGCCATTCACACGCAACTAGTCTTCTAAAACAAAGATGTAGCTACATTTTGTGTTGTTGTTGCACAGCAATGGACTTTGTTGCACAGAGCTGATAATATCACAGGTGGACCCTGCATCAGACTTTACACACTGAGAGTCCGTGTGGGGTAAGGGAGGAAGTATTGAGCTTATCAACAAGACCCATCAACTGTTTCCATACTCTTGATTGGAACTCCTTTTGTTTTGTATATTCCACCAAGTGTTCTCATTCACATGCTGTCCACTCAACTGGTTCTCACACAAATGATCTCCCTTCAGGTATACAAAAGGTAGCCATTTGGTTGTTCTCATGCAAATACTGTCCAATGAACTGTAATCCTGTGCTCACTGACCTTCCAGGGTCACACTGTCCTCCTACATAATGGTTGCTTCTCTGCTGTTGTCATAGCCCTCATAAAATACACACAATTGTACAGAAAAAAAAATATTTCAGAACATTAACAAAATTACAACGAAAACTTCCTAAAATTTTACATTTCACATGGTAAATTTTCATCTCTGTGCAGACTGGAAGGCTCTACTCCTACTTAAAATTTTATTTATATTCAAAATTTTAGGCATCCCCAAAGTTAGTATTTTTGAACATGTACTTGTTAGCACAAAGAAGAAGAAAACGCAAGCCAGATGCTTTCTGTCAGCATATTTTGCACAGGAATAAGGCATTTTTGATTCTCTGGGAGAATAACGAGCCAAGCAGTTTTGAGAAACTGGTGAAACACTGTTTACAGACAACAAGGCCAAATGGCCGACACTCACTACTGTAGCATCAGTGAGACTGAACGACTGCATCACAAAGGTTGGCAATACAGTGCAGGGTCAGTGTTGCGGCATGGTGGGCAGCGCCTCAGCCTGCGGTGCCAGTGCCCCACACGGGTGCTGCTTCGTGTCCCAGGTGCTCCACTTCCCGGCCCGTTATCCTCTGATGGCCCGGGAAAGCAGTGGAAAATAGCTCAATACCTTGGGGCCCTGCTCCTACCGGGGAGATCCAGAAAGAAGCTTGTCTCCTGCCTTCGGACAGGCTCAGCTCCACCCGCAAGCCCTTGGGGAGCAAGCCAGAGAAAGACCCCCTCATGCGATGTCAACACACCTAAGCGCACGAGTAGGGATATTTAGTTGGAGTATAATTACACAAAGACATGTAGGAGAAAAAGACATATAGAATGACTTGACCATTTCACCAAGAACTTTAGAAAACAATACACCAGGTAGATAAAAGCAATTCAAATAAGTGGGCGCATACAGTTCTTGGAAGCATTTTTATCATCACACAGCTGCAGGGACAGGAAACACGAGAAAGGAGCTCACACAAGCACAGCCGCTTTGAAAGGAAATGAGGATACTGCTGACTCACACAGGGTAACAGTGGTTATTTCCCTTTTTTACTCAGATTTTTTTTAAAGGTAAATTAGAATAGGGAAATAGCACTTCAACATGCAATTTGTTCAGATAACCTAGCGCCACGTGAATCAAATGATTTCCTAGCAGACTGGGCAGGAGGTGGTACATCCTCCAGTTACCCGGGGGGCTGGGCAGGAGGTGGTACATCCTCCAGTTACCCGGGGGGCTGGGTAGGAGGTGGTACATCCTCCAGTTACCCGGGGGGGGGGGGGCCGGGCAGGAGGTGGTACATCCTCCAGTTACCTGGGGGGCTGGACAGGAGGTGGTACATCCTCCAGTTACCAGGGGAGGCTGCAGAGGTGAACTCTGTCACTGACCAAGGGCAGGGCAAACTTGGGGAGACACCCATTTCCGACAGAGCCACAGAAGGGGGTGAAGGAGAGGATTTCCCCACGGAACCTGGCAACAGACCTGGCAAAAAGTAAACACTGGGTCATATTTAGAACTTTCTCATTCCAACTCATAACTGCACATCGTGATTTGACTATCACATCTTTGTAACTGCTGCTGGAAGAGGTGCACATCACGCCCATCTAGGCTGTTATCAATTACAGCTCGCAGAAGCAAAATGCCAGGCAAGCATTTACTCATTTAAACACAAAAAATCTCAGTCTAAACATTTCTGTTCAGTTTCTCATCAAGAATCTGCATGTCTGGGTCCAGTGCAGTAGCCTAGTGGCTAAAGTGCTTGCCTTGAATGTGTTGGGATCCCATATGTGGGTGGGTTCTAGACCCAGCAGCTCTGCTTTCCATCCAGCTCCCTGCTTGTGGCTTGGGAAAGCAGTTGAGGACAGCTCAAAGCCTTGGGCCCCTGCACCCGCGTGGGAGACCTGGAGAATTGGCTCCGGGTTCCTGGCTTTGGACAGGTGTAGCTCTCATCATTGTGGCTGCTTCGGGAATGAACCAACAGATGGAAGATCTTCCTCTCTGTCTCTCCTCTATATATCTGACTTTCCAATAAAAATAAAATAAATCTTTAAGAAAAAAAGAATCTGCATGCTTAACAGCCCTGGAAAATTTGCTCCTGCCGGCCATCTCTCCCTTCAGGATGGACAGTATCATGTACATTTTTAAGAATACAATTTTAGAATACAATGAGATATTCAGTGAGAAATGCTAAGACAAAATCGACAATTCCACGGAAAACTGTAAGGGTTCCAATTTTTCTGAAAATCATGAAAACAAAGCAAAGATAATAAGTCACCTATAAAACGTATCCAGTCACGAGTATAGAGCCAGCACTGTGGCATAGCGGGTTAGTCCATGCTAATGGGCTTGGTAAAGCTTCATAAGATGGCTCAGGTGCTGTGCACGCTGGGACCCCGAATGTCATCTCGGGCTCCTGGCCGGCACCTGGCCCAGCCCTGCCTGCTGCAGCCACTTGCAGAGTGAGTGAATGCGTGGAAGCACGCTCTCTTTTCCTAACCGTACCTTTCAAATAAACAAATGGTCAGTTTGCAAAACATACTGTAGAGTCTTGCCACTCTGTAATCCTAGACTATTACTATCCCCTTATCATTCTAGTATTCTGCTTTACAGGATGTAAACTTCTGATCCAAGGTTAACTGGGTGTGGCTCTAAGTGTTTTTCTTTTCTAGGACAGTTCCTGCCCTTATCAACTTCAATCCAGTTAGGATGCACAGAGCCACCCTCCAAAATAGTCCCCACTCACTGACCACGGCCACGTGCAGGCCATCCGCTTTCGCCCACCTCTGATGGGCACAGACCCTGGCACTGCTCTCTCCCCAGGCTGTCTCCTGGAAGCCCCGGACAGCACGTCCTGCTTCCCCAGCTCCTCCACTGGATATGCGACCTGTCAGGGGCCAGATCCGGTACTCAGCTGCCAAGGTCCTGCAATGCCTGCAAGGGGCAGCCCTGCTTTATAAAACAATCCAGTTCAAGTTCTGGAGGAGGCCCGATTTTAGGCTGCATGAGAAACGACTATGAAGACCAGGAAGAGAATTTAGAGCCTATGTAAGATTAAAGATAAGGAGAAGGTGCGAAAATACGTCAAGAAACTGGTAGGCTGTAGGGGAACTTACACTCCTAGGAGCAGTGTGACCACTGACAAATGACAATGTGCTCTATAACTGCAGACACCACCATAAAATCCCAGAAAAATGATACATTTAACTGAAAATAGGAAACCAAGCAGTGCTTTTATTTGATACAAACCTTAATTCTTATTTTTTTTTTTTCAAATAAACGAGGATGATAAAAAGTGCCCTGATTAGGCAGTCGCATGCTTCATTCATGCACTGTGAGTACGGGGATGCACACGGGAACCCCTGCCCTCGCAGAGCTCTCCCGACAGCCTCGGAGGGAACGTGGGGTGGGTCCAAGCCCTCGGTGCCGGCCCGCGGCTGCCCCACGCGGGGGCTCGGCCCTGGACGCGCACACCCCGCCCGTGCTCCGGCCTGCTGACAGAGGCTCCCCCGGGGTGCGCGGCGCACCCCAACTCCGAGCTTCTTTGTTCGGGCCCCAGGACAGACACGGATCCCTAAACATGGCATCCACGCGGCCCGTCCCCTTGGCGCAGGTTCTCCATCCGCAGCACGATCGGCAACCACGGAAAAGGAACGGAGCCGCGCCAAGGGCGGGGAGCGGAAGGCGCCTCGTCGGGAGGCCCGAGCGCACCCCGAGATCGCGGAAACGCACCCCACCCCGGCCCGGGGCACTCGGGCGCGCCCCAGGCCGCACTCACCCCGGAGGAAGCCTGGGCCCCCTCGTCCTCTTGGACTCGCCAGGCCGACGACGTGGGGCTGACTGCCAGGTCGCAGAAGACAACGCCGAGAGGAGCCCGCTCCCCCCGGCCGGTGCTGCACAACCCAGCCTAGTGCCCCGCCGCAAACGACCCGGACGCAGAGCGCATCTCGGGGCGGAAGTGACAACAGCTCGACCTTCTCGGGGCGTGGCGGCAGCGGGAGAGGGGCGTGGCGGGGGCGGGAGAGGGGGGCGTGGCGAGGGCGGGCCGTCCCGGCCAACCCACAGCTCGGTTCCCGCCCCCTAGGCCGGCGCGGCCGAACGCCCGCACATGCGCACTAGCGACGGCTGGAGGTTCGCCCCAGGCTGCGTCTCGGAGTCCCCACGCGCTTCCACCGGCTTCTGTCTGTAGGGAAGACGCCTTGGATCTTCCCGGGGCTTGTCTGTGCTAATCATTACCACGCAGTAGATGAACCGAGTGGAGCAAGAATAGGGATGTTGGTCTCAGAATGAACGTTTTAGGAGCTGGTGTGCTGTGGGGTAAAGGCACCACCTGCGACGCCAGGGGTTCAAGTCCAGGCTGTTCCACTTCGATGCCTCTGCTTGCTAAGGGCGTGGGAAAAGCAGCACAGGACGGTCCACCCTGGCGCCTGCCGCCCGTTGCAGCCATCTAGGGAATGAGCCGGCAAGTGGACATTTTCTTCCTTTCTGTAACATGGGCTGCCAAGAAAAAAAAAATTTTTTTTAAACAAGGAACAAGCCAACATTTGGCAAAAAAAAAAAAAAAATTTCTTTTAAGATTTAGTTATTTACTTTATGGCAGTAGAAGAGAGACAGATTCCTTCCATCTTCTGATTCACTCCCACAAATGACATAATTGTGCCACAAATACAGGGTCTGTGCCAGGGCCAAGCCACAGGCCAGAAATCCCAACCGGCTCCATCGTGTGTGTGTGTGTGTGTGTGTGTGTGTGTGTGTGTGTGTGTGAGAGAGAGAGAGAGAGAGAGAGAGAGAGAGAGAGAGACAGCGCCAGCATGGGGTGGGGGCTAGGGAGTGGAGCATTTCTGCTAGCTTCATTGCTGCACAGGTCCATCAGCAGGAAGCTGGGTGAGAAGAGGAGCAGCTGGGATTTGAAAAGGTGCCCAAAGGGGATGCCAGCGTTGTAAGGGGATGGATTAATCTCTGTGGCCTCAAGCCTGGCCCCAAATTCTCTTAGTTTACGGGCCCAGTGCTCTGGCATCAGCATCCCACAGAAGTGCTGATTTGAGTCCCAGCTGCTCCCCGTGGGATCCAGCTCCCTGCTAAGGCACCTAGGAAAGCAGCAGCAAATAACCCAAGTACTTGGGCCCATGTGCCCACTTAGGAGACCCAGCAGCTCCTGGCTCCCTGCTTCAGCTAGATCCAACCCAGCCATCACAGCCACCTGGGGAGAGAACCACGGGGTAGAAGATTCCCTCTCTCTTTCTCTCATATAACTTTCAAATAAATAAATCTTTTTCTTTTTTTTTAATTTCCTTACTTTGAATAGCTTTAAAGCAGTGTTTCTCAAATTGTCTGTACAAAGACACCAATTTATTATTTTTAAATTTCCCATTGTGAATCATGCTTTATAAATGAAATGGAAAAAAAAAGCATTTCAACTGCAAGTTAAAACATTTTTGTTATGGGTGCCGGTTTGTATCCCAGCGGCCCCACTTCCCATCCAGCTCCCTGCTTGTGGCCTGGGAAAGCAGTCGAGGATGGCCCAAAGCTTTGGGACTCCGCACCCATGGCCCCTGGCTTCGGATCAACAGCTTTGGCTGTTATGGCCACTTGAAGAAAGAATCAGTGGATGGAAGATATTCCTCTCTGACTTTCCTTTTCTCTGTATATCTGACTTTCCAATAAAAATAAGTAAAATCTTTTTTTAAAGTGTTAGCCATCAGTGCTAACATTCCTTGTGCACATGCTGTGAGGTCTCCACCGACCACTGATACTTGAAGAGGTGAGGTCTGTGGGTGGCAGCCCTGCTCTACAGAATCAGGAACATGAGAGTAAGGGCCTCGTTGGGGCGCAGTGGATAGAAGCTAAGGTCTGCAATGCCAACTTCTCATGTGGGCACCAGCTGATTCCCTTCCCATTCAGCTCCCTGCCCAAGGTCTGGAAAAAGCCACAAGGATGACACAGATGTGGTCAGTCTGGAAAGGGAGCCAACAGGTGAAAGATCTCTGTGTGTGTCCCTCTCTCTCAACTCTTTCAAGAAAAAAACATTTTTTAATCAGATTAGTGGAACATCATAATCCCTCTCTAGAGAGTGACCTACTAAATCTGTACAAAGACTCTGCTGTCGGGGTAATGCCACAGGGAATCATCAAGCCCAAAGTGAGCAGAAAAGGAGATCACTGACCCCAAATACAGAGTTCTGGAGCAACGGATGCATTGCTTGGATCAGCTTTACTCACTGCTGACAGGCACCTGAGCACTGCACACCCCGTCTGTAAAATGGGTGGTGAGGGAGTTGCACAACGCTTACCCCATTAAGTCTTAGTAAGGTAAGGTTGTTTGGCATATTGTAACTGTACATTAGACTTAAGTATTATTTTCCTAGTAATAACTAGGTGAGATAGCTGGCAGAGAAAACATGAGTGATGAAACAACTTTAGCTAAACAACGACTTGACCATATGCCTGTAAGATATTTCAGTATCACTCCCAATGTTGCTTATTTCAGTGCTGCAATGCACAGAATTCCCCACAAGGGGGCAGAAAAGGCATTTGAAATCATAAAGCAGTTAACATAATTCACAATTTTTAGTCACTTCATTATTTAATAAGTTTGATCCGTGTTTGCTTTGGTTTTGAAGTAAGCCATTGTATCATTCGAACTTGCTGAGACTACAGATCAGAAAATATCTCCAGACAAGAAAAAGATCTACTACAGAGATGAATGTGTGGGGTTGCAGGTAAGGTTACTGCCTGGAACATACACAGCAGAAAGTCGGAATTGGAAGCAGAGTAGGGACTAGAACCCAGGCACATGTGGGCAACCCAAACGACGTAGACAACATCTTGACTACTGAGCCTAACCCCTGCCCCAAACACCGCCATGGGAGGTACTGCACCTTAGTGCATATTTTCAAAAACTACCTCACCCTCCTGGGCAGACAAAATCTTGCTTAAGAGCCTGTGATTGGATCAGCGCGGTGTTCCCTTGGCTGAATGCCACGCGCAGGACACATCCTTCACTGTCCAGACTGGTCCTAGTCCCTGCCCCCCAAGAGCTTCAAATTCAAGACAAAAATTTTTTTTTCTGTAGCATTCAAAGACTGTTAAATTGTGCTATTAAGAAAGCATTTTTGGAGGCTTCATTCTGACCATGGACATGGACTTTCTAGTTGCATTCACACGTGCCACTTACTGAAGTTCACTAGGTCCGCTCTCCAGCCCCCTGTCCAGCCTTGGGCTAGAGAGACGCCAGAGACAAAGTTAAGAAGATGCCTGTGTGAGCTTGAAGTTGGAAGGCATGAGAGGTGAAACAAAGCCCTCACGGGTTACTCCCCTGTCCACTGAATGACACACTGTTATTCTTCTCTATGTGCATATAAATTCTGTGACACTCAGCAGCTCACTCATAATTTCTGAAAAACTTGAAAAATCCTTTCACATGGACTGAAGATGTCTTTGCTGGTGGAGCTGGAGGGTAAAGCTAGATACAATGATATATTCGTTGAATTATTCATAAGCTCAGCCTGCAATGAATACATATACTTTCACTTACTCACTTTATAAAATTCAAAACTAAACCCAGCAGCAGTTTTATCTTTGGCATGGTGACAAGTTCCTTTTCTACAATGAACCAGTCAAAGAGACTGTCCCAGAGAGGATTCCTGCTCTCCTATGTCACAGAAGTCCAGGCGGAGGTACACAGGTGTTATACACCACCCTTGTGGGCGAGTCCGTGTTCCTGAGTGCCAGGCGGAGGCCGCAGGGCTCGTTTATATCTGTCATATAGAAATACTTCCACGTGCAAAGTACAGCCATGTCAGGGGAAAACGCCCAAGGAAGGTCTTTAGTGCTCAGGATTTGAAGGATTTGATTCATCCAGGGAGTTCAAATTTGGAGCAGTCACGTTTAAGAATGGAAATGTGCCTTTCATCCGCCAGCAGGAAGGAGCCGGTATTGTGGTGTAGCACGTTAAGTTGCTGCCATGATGCTGGCATCGATATCAGAAGGCCAGTTTCAGGGCTGCCTCTTCTGTCTGATCCAGCTTTCTGCTAATGGTGCAGGGAGGCAGGCAAGGACGCTCCCAGCATTTGGGTTCCTGCCACCTACATGGCAGGGAATTCCATGGCTCCTGGCTTCATCTGGGGAATGAACCAGCAGATGGAGGAGCCCCTTCGCCCTTTCAGTTATTTAATCAATTAAAATGAAAGTTGAGAACTGGTCGACTGAAGTGAGCTGTTTTGCAGCCAGCTGCAGTCTTTTCAGGCAGGTCAACATACAGCTTTAGCAGCGCCACTACGCGGCCGCGTTCATCAGCATGAAAGCTGACTTCATTGTTTGAAGAAAGCACGTGCATTTCAAAATACACATGCGACTGTTCGGTCACCTGGAAATCGTAATATATTTGCCTAGCATTAATCAGTTTTATGTAAGGGAAATATATTTTCACTTAATACAAATATAAAAATTAAAAGATGGCATCTCCTCGGTGTCACAATATGTAAATGTTCTACAAACATATTTTTAAAAACAGTTAACATCCTAAAAGTAACTTACTCAGTGAATCTAGGGGATTATATTTTAAAACACGGAAACTCAATAAATATAAAAAAATGCTAATTAAATTCCTTTTAATGAATTTCAGTATAGCTAACAACATATTCAAATTATAACATTATTTTTCATGTACATGGTTCATTTATGATAAAGAAAATGCTCTATTTTAATATGATTGCTAAAGCACCAAAATTATCCTTACTAGGAAAAAGAAGAAAACTTGGTAGTTTCTGGTAAGTAAATCACAAGGAAAGATGAAATGACAAGTTTAGCATGAATATGCTTTGAGTGACAGTCTTTAAAATTCTAGATTTTATTTATTTTTTTAAAGATTTATTTTTATTATTTTTCATTGGAAAGGTGGATATCCAGAGAGGAAGAGACAGAGAGGAAGATCTTCCGTCCGATGATTCACTCCCCAAGTGAGCACAACG